ATATATATATATATATAAATATTTTTTATTTAATATATTATAATCTTATTTAATATATAAAATTTTATTTAATATATATAATTTTATATATATAATTTTTTTTCCTATACAAATGGGTGGCAGGGTGGACGGGTTATGCTTTACCACAACAGAAAACTACTCTGAAATGTTGAAAATAAGATAAAACAGGGACACCAGCTCTCCTTCTTGTAAACAATTTTTCATCATAATTGTGAGAATTCCTGAGAATTGCATGACTAGAAGAGCAATTAGGAGGCATTTTTATGAGGATTACAATTAAAGTAATAGAGGGGACATTTATTTTAGGGAGTGACACATTTATATTAAAATTGTATTAAAATATTAATAAAAAGTGTTTGTTTAGATGTATTATAAATATGCCAAATAAAAATCAATAAAAAGAATAGAATTTATTAGATATTTCTAAGCATACTTTATCTGGGACATGGCAATTCAGCTACCTGCACTGAAATTAGAGTAAATATTGTGATTGTTCATTTAATTTTGAGCACATGTCATTGTGTCCTATTGTGGAAATAGGCATCCTATCAGACAAGCTTTAAGAATTTTTTAAAAATGCACATTTAAATATTCTGTACCATATAATGCATTGGGAACACAAAAGCCATGAATAATAGGAATGAACGAGTAACCGCAAACGGAAAAGAACTACTGTGCTTAAAGATTTTGTTGCCATCAAATTCTATATCATGATAAACAAATGGATGAGTTCACTCATCTACCTCGACAAAGCTCAACTTGTGCTACTTCTGGACCACTGAGCTGTAGTCTCATGACATCATCACCACACCTCAACTGTGGAGACATGGCTTCCCAGGCAGCTTCAGAAGAACTGTAGAGTTGACCTTTAATTGTGGATTTCTCCCGCAGGTCTGAAACTATAGACATTTTCCCCCAAAAACCAAAACAAAAGGCTAAATGAATAAACAGTACAACTTATATTTTACAATTTTTTATCACTGTACAGTAGGCTATTAAACTTTGGTGTATTTATATGGGCCTCTTGAAGCACAGTAAAGTGTTCATACCTGGGAGTTTATACCTGACATCGTCACTGAGGTGCTCCAAATTAAAGGACTCAACATATCCCTTTTGGTCCGACACATATTCTGATATAATTTGGCTCTCTTCATCATCTCCTTTTAGCGTTTCAGACAACGGTAACAGACTGCGGCACTGTATTAGTACAATGCATAGGAAAAAACTTAGTATCACGAACAGTTTATCCTGTCGTTTTCCATACGCCATTCTGGTACGGGCGCTTGTGAAGCACATGCTGCTTTAAGTGTTCGCACCTTGCGCCGGTAAATGAATCACCTGTTCACTTGAATGATTGCGTGAGATCCGTTTCCTGACATGTGTTTACGCCGGTTAAATACCGCGTCTCGGGAAACTTTTATAGTTTATTTTGGTTATAGTCACATATTTTTCAGGTTGAGTTCTCGCAGGCAGTGCAAGAAAGAAAAGTAAGTCTTCATTTTTACACTTAATATTCACGTTTTTACCCTCAAGAAACAGCTGAAAAAACTCGCAAAATATTAGGCTGTAAAACGTAAGTAACAGACGTAACGTTAAATCCATGTCCTTGACAAACGTACTTCAGTAACATTTTAAAGAGATTTATCATATTTAGATACAACTTAGCAAAACAATGTTACATTGAGTGTGTATGCACGTTAAAATAATAATAAAGTGCTTCTGAATGCCTAAAAAGGTCTCCCACAGAGTTTGGTGTTACAGTCACTGGACAGCTCTAATGCCAACTCTCAGATATCCATGGAGACCGTCAACACTGGCACTGGGTGAATACCTTCAGTGTACTGTTGCGGACAATCCAGGTGAATCTAAAATTCTTTCCTTCAGGTCCATGGTGTCAAGAAACTGCAGGTAAGAAACCTAGACCAGACTTTTGGATTAATGGACATGCATGGGATATGTGTGGGATGGTAAATCAAGAGAAATATTTATCCAAGTTAGCATCTGAATTAATATTTTGTAGAATTTGTTTTGATTTTAGTGTGTATTAGCTTAAGGAATAAATGTATTTTATATATTTTTTGTTTATTTGATTTGAACAGTTATAAAGACTCTGACGAGGAATAATCAGGGGCCAGTATGATTGGATGGTATAACCTTGATAAAAATGTCATATATCAATGATGGTATTGTAATTACTGCTCTAAAGTATGCTATTAAAATGCTGTAAAAAGATATCTATCATACATGTAAATAGAATTCTGACCCCCACATAAAAGATTATAATAGAAATATTAATAATAATAATTATAGTAAATAAAATTTTAATTAAATATACAAATAACAAACAAATTGAAAAATTATTACAAAAAATAACAATGACATAAAACACAAAGCTCATTCATTCATTCATTTTCTTGTCGGCTTAGTCCCTTTATTAATCCGGGGGTCGCCACAGCGGAATGAACCGCCAACTTATTCAGCACACTTTTACGCAGCGGATGTCCTTCCAGGCGCAACCCCTCTCTGGGAAACATCCACACACACACACACACACACTCATACCTCATACACTTCGGACAATTAAGCCTACCCAATTCACCTGTACCGCATGTCTTTGGACTGTAAGGGAAACTGGAGCACCCGGAGGAAACCCATGTGAACGCAGGAAAAACATGCTAACTCCACACAGAAATGCTAACTGAGCCTAGGTTTGACCCAGCGACCTTCTTGCTGTGAGGCAACAGCACTACCTACTGCACCGCTGCGTCGCCTAAAATACATATTACAAAAAGGCATATTACATTTTTTTAGTACAGGCTTGAGTCTAACAGACAAGATTTTAGTCTTAGAAACTTAGAGGTTAATAAACAATCAAAGAAAGGGTCCCAGGTCTGATAAAATAGAAAAAGTTTGTTGTTAGCTGTGGAGAAAGCCTCAAATGGGATTGTGTTGCAGACTGCAAGCAGCCATTAATTTAAACTAGGTGGTTCTTCAATAATCCACTTTACACGGATACATTTCCAAGCAAACTAAACCAAAGGATGTAGAATGTCTCTTTTAGCGAAAATTATAAGGTATATCATCATTGAGATCAGTAAGCAACTCTTTGCTCCAATCGAAATGTACATTTAAAGATGGAGTTGTGCTGCAGTCTAATCAAGTCTGAGAAATGCTGTTTAAGAGAAGTGTGCTCTTTTAAATGTCTGGGTAAACAACGTTATACTGCATTGAACACAATGTATGTTATTTAAAGAAACATTTTAAATGTTTTGGAACTGTAAACCTGTCAGGCTAAATAATTCAACTAAATCTCTGACTTCTGCTGTCTTCATTAGTTTCAAAAACACAGATTTCTTTACAACTCGACAAGGCATCTTTGGATATCTTCCTTCTCTTTGGATATAAAGTAAGCCACTGCACTGTGCAGGTCCATATAGCATGTTTGGATGTTGATGCATGCTTTGATGTTAATGCATTCTTGGATTTTTCCTGATTTCCTGGGCTAATCAATAGCTTTTGATGTGGAGGGATATTTTCTGCTGGAGATACTGTTGACCTAAAAACTGAATCGTAAAAAAAAAAAAAAAAAAAAAAAATATATATATATATATATATATATATATATATATATATATATATATATATATATATATATATATATATATATATATATATATATATATATATATATATATATATATATATATATATATATATATATATATATATATATATATATATATATATATATATATATATATATATATATATATATATATATATATATATATATATATATATATATATATATATATATATATATATATATATATATATATATATATATATATATATATATATATATATATATATATATATATATATATATATATATATATATATATATATATATATATATATATAT